GCTCGAGATTAAGTTATAATAACATCTAATTTAATTAATCAACTCACTTCTTCATCCATTTCTGCCGCTGTCTGCATAGCAACAAGCTTTTCCTTTCGTCTCTCCATTGATGAAGTGAGGTTTTTGATTGCAGTACTTAGAGCCTGGAAAGACAGAGATACAAAAGTATAGGACTGGCTATTACAACTACATGTAATCCCTATCCCTCCCCCATGGGGAAAACTTTCCCGGCAGGACAGAGAGGTGAGAAGGGCTACTCTGAATGGATAGGTAGAGTTTAATAAACATTGCTAAACGTTCAAATACCTCAACTGACTGGAACCCAGCTCCCTTCAATGCAGTCTGGAATTAAGATAGTAACTTCAGTTAATCAAAAGTGGTTTTGAAATCAGTAGTAAAATAAACGATAAAGACAACAAGTGAATTTTACGACGTATCGAGGTCATACTGTCCTCATTGTCCATTAAAAGTACTTGACAATGAGGACAGTATGACCTCGAAACGTTATTTTACTACTAACTTCAGTTAAAGAACTAAAAAACCTTAGAAAAYGAGCATTATTTTGACTACCTTGAAAGCTTCCTCATCAGTGGATTCTAAGTCCTTGATGTCTTTTAGTTCTTTCAGTTTGGCCTCTTCCCTTGCAATCTATAATTAAAGTGATAAAATAGATAAATCATTCAAATTTCTTGTRAAAAAMAAAAAAMMAAAAAACAAAAAACCACACACTCACTGATGCATGTATACAAATCAAATGAACTGTTTTATCACAAATCATTGTATCCTGATATATCCTGATGGAAAACTAAAACTATTATATTACGTTAACAAATATAACCATAAACCTTTTCCTCTCGTCTTTTGGCATTAATTTCTTGTAATCTTTTCCCTTGTTTCTGACGTCGTATCTTTTCTTTTTCTTCATTCTTGGCAGGGCCGTTTTGAGGGACTTGGGGCTGGTCATAGGAAAAGTTACATTTTCAGTTTACAGGATTTCAAAAATGGACAAAACTATTAAAGTCAAATACAAATTTTTCCCAGGAATGTTGAAATTGTTGAAATATTGAAATTGAATAATAAACTGCACAGTTATATAGGGAAAAACTTTCATGCATCAAATGTGAATTATTGTAATATGATGCCAATTTTTATTGACATGGCTCTTTTTCCACAGTGACTTTGGTTGCTAATGGCACCAAAATGTCAAACTKCGATCTTCAATATGTTAACAGACAATTTAGTGAGTCTAACCTGGTGATAGGGAAGTTGTATTCTCTTTATGTTATCATCATAATAGTCAGTTGAAGCCCATTTTAGGATGTCATTTTCA